CCCAGCCCGGCAACCAAGATGGCGGCGCCTCAGGGAAAACAAAGTTAAGAAAGGGCAAAACATTGCGTGGCAGTGAGGCGTGAGGGAAAAAAGTGTGAGAAACAGCCCTGTGACACCAAGGTCAGTGAAGAAGGAGGGGCAGGAGGTGCTCAAGGGGCCGCAGCAGAGACTCCCCTGCAGCCCATGGAGAAGACCATGGTGAGGTAGCTGTGCCCCTGCAACCCATGGAAAGCCCATGCAGGAGCAGGTTTTCTGGCAGGATCTGTGACCCCATGGGGGACCCACACTGTAGCAGTCTTTTCCTGAAGGACTGTGCCCCATGGAAAGGACCCACGCTGGAGAAGTCGTGAAGGACTGCGTCCCGTGTGTGGGACCCCATGCTGGTGCAGGGGAACAGCATGGGGAGGAAGGAGCGGCAGGGGCAGGGCGTTACGAACTGGCCACAACCCCATTCCCTGTCCCCCTGTGCCACTCGGGGTGGGGAAATGAAAGAGTCAGAAGTGAAGTTGGGCCTGGGAAAAAGGGAAGGGTGGGAAGAAGGTGTTTTGGGGTTTGTTTTTGTTTCTCGCTGTCCTACTTGATTTTAATTGGTGATAAATTAACTTCCCCAAGTCGAGTCTGTTTTCCCGTGACGGTGATTAGTGAGCAATCTCCCCATCTTTATCCTGACCCATGAGCTTTTTCATTTTATTTTCTTCCCCTGTCCTCCTGAGGAGAGGGAGTGACGGCACAGCTGGATGGGTGTCTGGTGGCCAGCCAAGGTCAACCCAGCACACATATCTGCTGTGCTGCTCCACCTCCATTACAGAGAGAGAGTAGACTGGGAATATTGAAGGACAACTTTTTGCCACACACCGTGGCAGGGAGCTGAAAAGCCCTTGAATGTCTTAATGTAAATGAGGTGATTTCACAGCTTCCACAACTGAAAATCTGGATTTAAAAGATGAAAATCTGGATTTAAAAGATAAAAATCTCAAACCCAGATTCAACTAAAAGTAGAAGAAAGCCAACAAATGTGGGAAAAATGCCCTGAGTTATCCAGTGCTGTCTCAGAACTATACCTACTTTTATTCCAACTGTGTCAAACTCAGAGAAGCTTAAATCCAGGCATAATTTTTTTTTTTTTAATATATATCTGAATAAGCCAAATTTGGACAGCTTATAAAGGTCTTTTTGTCAAAAACACAGCCCAGGCAGTTTTTAACAGTGATTTGCCTGATGTACCCTGGTGCTTCCCAATGATGCAATTCAGTTTAGATTAAAAGCTTCTAAGTTGTATGGATAGCATTTTATTCCACAGAAGAATAAGCAAAGATAGGTGCATTATCATGGTGTGATATGCAAAACCAGCATCTAAGTACTTACCTGGGGAAAGCAGAGACCTGAATTCAAGCCCAGCAGGGGCTTGAATAGATCTTTGACTTCCTGTGAATAATATTTTGCTGTTTGAGGCTTGTAATCCAGTTGAGTATCTGTGACTTCAGACTAGTAATAGACTCGAGAACTCAGTTTCTCGCAGTCTCTTTGCCCAGATTTCCTAAAAGTCAGTATCAGAGCAAAAGTCTTTAATTAGGTAAGTTGTTATGTGATTTCCTTGCTTTTCCCAGTCTCTGGAGAGGAAAAATGGGAAAAGGCAGGAGCAAAGTACCTCTGTGTTACTAAGACTGGCAGCAAAGGAAAGGAAACAGCACAGGCAGGATGACTGATGAAGAGGCATCAGAAGAAGGGCAAGAGACAACATCTTGGGAAGGAATCGAAGTGAAATAGTATGCGGATGACTGTCATGTAGGAATATTGTTGGTCACTGCTGAGATGAACAGGACTAAGCATGAAAAGGAGGAGAACAAAAGGGAAGATAACTTTTTTCTTGGGAAAAAATAATTGGAAGAACCACCTGCAAAAGAAAACAGAGTGAAGCTGAGATAAGTAATATTGGAGACACCGATCTTGTACCTTTAAAAGTTTTACAATACTGCTCAGTTAGTCTGAATACAGGCACAGATTTCAGAACCAAATTCATTCACAGACAAAAAAGAGGAAGGGAGGAAAAAGGACAGTAGAGAAAACTTTGGAACAGGGAGAAGCTTGGTACTTATACCATGAAAAAGCATTTGGAGAGTTATTTTAAATGCCTTCGAAAAGAAATAGCTGAAGACTGTTTTGATTCATTAAAAACAATGAAGTCCGAGTTTGAGTCATCTGTCCCTAATGCTCAGAATTGAGAAGGGAATTGTCTTTGCTGGTCTAATGACTTCTTTTTGCCATCTGGTGGAAATGGGGTGGAATGACAAGTTTTAGTAGTGGAATGGAATGTACACAACTTGAGATTTTTTTTTTTTTTAATTTGCTCTTCCTTTACATCAATTAAAAGAATTCAGTGTAATTCATAAAATGGCATCAGATACATAGCACAGTAGATTCAAAGCCTGGCAAGCTACAGAATTCAACTAAATTACACAGACTAATACTGCCTCTACCATTAGCTCACATGCAAAAAAACAAAGGAAAAGAAAAAAAATCGCTGCTTATTTTCCATTGCCTAGCTCAGACCACAGCTGCTCAAAAACTGCCCACCTGCGTGCAGAAGGAATTGATTTTTTCAAAATATTTTTTGAGGGGTTTGAGTGCCCTCCGGTGTTCAAGTGGCAAATTGCAAAGTTAATGGAAAGAATTTTTTCTTTCTTTCTTTCAAAATGCAGTATTGTCCGCCAAAATCATTGTAGTATCATGGTGTTTGCTTCCTTTAAGAGAACTCCAAAGAATCTACACTTGTTTTCTTAATTAGCTAGATAGTTTGTTTTGCTTGCTTTTGCTAGATACTCATAATTTGTGTTAAACAGATTCTGAGATTGGAAAAATATGTTTCCTCATTTATTCCAAGTAGGGAATGATTATGTAATTACTTGTGCAAAAGTCAAGCTAAAAGTTATGTAATAAAAATATAAGCACCTAATCATTTTAATATGTAAGATTTAATTAAATTGTTGAAAGATTCAAAGTAAACTTCATGTACCCTGGTCAGTAATTTTGACAAGTCTAATAGATTAAAGCAGTAGAAATAAGGTAATGAATGAAGCAAGAGACTGAATAATATGCCTTTTCAGTACATATGAAAGTGCGTATGAAAGGAAATTCAGTGAATGAGAAAGGAACTTCCCAAAAGCTAGGGCAGGGGCTGATATTTAATCCAAGCATTTCAACCAAAGTTCCAAAACCATGCAGTGTCAAAGAGCTAAGAAGAGGGATTTATAGCAGGAAATGTCAAGGACCCTGGCCCTCATTCTGAGACACCAGAACAAATCTCATTGCTGTGCTCTCAAGTTGGGAACCAAAAGTTAGTGAACACTTTTGACAGTCCTCTCCATTCTTCAGTGCTGTGTCCGAAGACATGGTTCCCCCACCAGCAAGAAGGGATGATGAGAGCAAGGAAGGAGAATGGGGTCTCAGCCCAAGCCCAAACTAGCCATGAATGATGCAACTGTGTATGATGTTGCTTTATTTTTTGCTGTATCACAACTTACTGGTCATTTTTCAGTGAGCTTCAGCTAAATAATTTACCTTTTCTGCTAATGTGGTTTTTTCATACAGGTTAATCTACATTTGACCTTGTATATTATTTTTAAGCCATGCACAGGTACTTGGGCAATTTAAAAAAACAGTGTCAGAGTCTCAGCAAATTCCTAGCACACTGATAATCAGTACGTCTATATGTCTAAAAGAGTATCAAAGTGTTCAGCTTGCTTGACTACGATGAAAGGAGTATTGGAGGGGAAAGGCTGGAAGACATGCAAGAGTAGCTGCCTGACCAGACTTCTGGAGTGCAGGTTCCAGGCTCACAAAGGTGGGGTGCGTAAGCCAGGCCCAGGACTGCAACAGTCTGATCAGACTTCTTCAGCAGATGTCTAGATGGTGTCTTAAAATATAATAACATGAAATCACTACCTGCTAACCTAATCACTTCTTAGCCTCTCCCTATTTGAGGTGGTGGAGTCACCATTCCTGGAAGTGTTCAAAAAACGGGTAGACGTGGCACTTTGGGACATGGTTTAGTCTAGTCTACCCTTAATTGCTTTAGTGTGGACTTGGTAATGTTAGGTTAATGGTTGGACTGGATGATCTTAAAGGTCTTTTCCAACCTAAATGATTCTATTGGCCTTTTGATCTTCCTTAGGTACTATAAAAAGATTCAAACATCCTTGAGAGGAAACTCAAATGTGATAGGTTTACCTTTAACCTTTAAAAACATTCTACTATAGATTACAGTCTGTTAAAGGTGGTGAGAGAATGTGCAGCTCTTCGAATGCTACTCTGATAGACCCATAAAGACAAAGTAATAGAGATCTTTTCATCCCCAGGACATATATATGAATCTTCATGTTTTGTGGTTTATATTTTTTTTCTTGGGAACTGAGTATTAATATTTCACAAAATACGGTATAAAAAAGGAGGGAAAGGGGACTCAGTCCTCAAATTAACCTGCTTTTGAAAAATCTAGTGTTAAAATACTGGTTCTGTTTATAGTGCATGGCATCTCAGATGTTTTAGTAGAAAGCTAAAAATGAGGCACATGAAAGACTTGCATTAGTATTCTCAGGAGGTGGCTCAAGATCTTAGTAGAGTCATTTATACCATTTAATAAATATCATATTCTTTCCTCTTTTCTTTCTTCCAGTTTGCAGCTCAGAACCTGAAAATGTTCAATCTGATCCAAAGAATTATACTAGTCTTCTTGTTACATGGGAAAGACCTCGGGTTGTATATGACACCACAATTGAGAGATTTGCTGTCTTTTATCAACAGTTGGATGGAGAAGACCAGACTAAACATGAGTTTCTGACAGATGGGTATCAGGACTTGGTAACTGTAAACTCTTCAAGTTTCGTACAAAGGGGTGATGGCAAAACACTCACTGTTAATTATCTTAAGGGATTAAAAAGTAGCTGGGAGCTGATTCAGTAAAAAATTACTTCTGTGGCTGCAGCTCACAGCAGCTGTACTTCATTTTTTGGCTGTGAAGCCACAAAGACAATTTCAAAAAAACAAAAAAGCCTCTCTTGCCCAGAAAAGAGAAGACTTTCACAGATTGCTGTTCTGATTTGCCTGTACTATCCCCAAAAGTGTATGACCATGTCAATGTCAGAGCTCCTTAGCCATAAAGCCCTTAGTCAATTAATAGTGATCTGTACTTCATTGCTCACTGATGTGCAAAGAATGACCTATGCAAGCAACTAATAAGATTCAGTACAATCATAGTGCTACAAATATTAAGTTACTGATTACAGCTTCATGGTGTTTTACTAATGTGATCTGTTCCCTTAACCCTCTTTAAAGACTCATAATGTATCAGAGATAATCTTACCTAAATTAATGTTCAGCATTAAATAATTATATAGTTTGGTATCCTCCACTTAAAAATTCACAAGGTTTTTTTTTTTAAAGTTGACTGAAAACATTGTGACAATAAAATATAAAAAGCATACATCAGAGTCCTAGAAGAAAGGAGCTTTATGGTTCACATGAAAAATGTGTTATGAAAAAATTAACATTTCCAAATATTTGATACTTACTTGCAAGTAAATGATTAAACATGGTTTTTCTTTTAGGGGGCTATTCTAAATAATCTGCTGCCCAATACAAGTTATGTTCTTCAGATAGTTGCTGTTTGCTCTAATGGTCTATATGGAAAATACAGTGACCAAGTCATTGTTGATATGCCTTTAGAGGACCCAGGTAAGTGGTCTTTTGAGCTTAGAGATCACTTTTAGCTGAAAATCTGTATTTGAAGAAGTAGTTTGTTTGCAAACCAGTTAAAATGAACGACTATCAAAATATGCTAAAATGAAATTTCAAAATCACTGCAGTTAACCTTCAGCACGTTCTTTGCTACTGATATTTTACATGATGTAATTCTCCATTCCTTGTAAACATTACCTATGAAAGACTGCATGTTAATTTTTTTTAACTCTAAGAATATTCTGAAAAACACCTACCTGATTTCAAATCTCACAAGTGTATCTTTCAACAATATAATGTAGGGAATTGGTATTATTTCTCTATGGATCAAGCATCCTGCTAAAATTAATGCACACAGCCAAAGTATTAAGGAAACAAGTAATACAAATCCAATATATGACTTACAAGTCTGATTCAATTGATTTTGAAATTTGATTTCTTATGATTACTTGGAGTTTGATTTCAAAGGACTTGCGGTGATGGAATTCCCTTGCTTCTTAATGCTGCCTCGCAAAAAATCAAAAGGCCTAACAAACAAATCTTACTGATTTCACAGCCAGATTTACTTCTTCCGCCTGCTCATAAATATGAAATAATTTGAAACTATAGCATGAAACTTGATCTTGTCCTTAATAATTCCTTAAATTCTGTGGAAGTTTTAGCATCAGACCCAGTTCTTAATCAAAGTGAGTGAGAGCTGTGTTTTTAATTAAGAACTCTGTAATTAATCATAGGAAAAAATCAAAGACTTTCTGATCATGCAAGAAACCATTTTTTATCTAAGGGCCTGGATTCTTCTTGTTTATTTATGGATTCTCTAAGTTCAGTTTTACACTTCATTAAGTCTGTTTAGCTACAGCAAAGTCCTTAGCAATGTTGTGATGTACTTGGGAAAACGGGTCAGTTTTTCATTTCAAGGGAACAACATTCCTTTACTGTGAGAAAGAATATGATTCTCAGCAGGCTCTACCATATGAGTTATGAACTAATAATGGTAATAGGCTTATATTAGTGCGTTTTTGTCTGAAGAAGGGGGACACAGGTTCAGGTATAGTACATACCAGTTTTCAATAAGCATGTTACTTGTCTTTCAAACACAAAGTGTTAAGAAGAATGCATTTTTGGAGTCTTATGCTAATACCTACTAGAATTTTCTTCTTCAGTTTTCTAAGAAGTCTACGACAAGGTTCTGACATTCTGCCTGACATTTCACTTTTCTGTTTATCCTTTATCTACCTCTTAGATACTATATTCCTCCACTTCCTTTCCAGAATTTGCTGATTTTGTGTTTGAAGATTTTTCTCAGATGAGATTTCATCTACATACCCCCACATCCATTTCTACATGGAAAGACAAATAAGCAGCATGGTGTTGTCATTATTAAATAATAGTTCAACGAATCAAATTAGCGCAGTGCTGCCATCACAGCTTTAAAAGCTCAGAAAACAGACATTGCAACAAAAAATCCAATATAGATAATAGCCATAGGATAACCCACCTTACTACTACCGTTATATCCCTGCTGTAAGGGTCAGTGAGACTTGGTTGCATACCCCCCTGCTGTGTGCCGTGGCTCCTTTTGGAAGGAAATGTGGGTGCAGAGGTGGGAAGGGAGACAGGAGCACTCTGGGGCTGGGTGACCACGGAGCCAGCACTGCAGGCAGCAACTGCGCAGTGCGCCTGAGGTGCGAGCAAATACCGCCGGGGAACAAACTCAGAGAAATGGCGGGGTGTTTGGCAGCCTGCAGCTGGCCAGCAGAGTAGATACAGCTGCTGATCATGGCATCCCTGTTGTACTTCTGCTGCAGTCAGCAGTGGCTTTGCATTCATTTCGGTGGAAAGAAGAGTGAGGGCCTTGCTTTAGAAATACATCCTGGAAAGCTCATTTCACTTTCCAGTGAAATTTCTTCCAGCAGAAATTTCTCTGAGATTTGTATTCTCAGACAAGAGAATTTGGTGCAATAAATATTATATTTAGCCGTTCTGAGTGAAGGTCTTATATTCTCATGCCTTTTTACACAGACACACCACTAATTTATTTTTGTTAAAGAAATGAGAAAATGCAATGCAAGGATACTTAGGAGGGATAACAATGTAAATAACGTATCTATATAAAATATTAACAGGTTAGCATAACTATGACAATGGTATTTTTGTGTTTTCTGTCATTTGAACATTTAAATATGTCTCCTTAATGTTGCATTAAAGCAGATTAATGTATATAAGGATTTCTTGTTTTTAAATAAAGCATTTCAAAGAGGAGAGTTAAACAATCTGTGTATCAGACCTGTATAAACACCTGGGTTTTTTTTCAAATTTCAGGCAGTTCTGAAAATTTGTAATAGCTTCAGGTCTACATAAGGTTTTTTCCTTAGTTTTCCAAAAGCTTCAAAATTGAGGAAGATTATTTCAGGTCAAATGAAGTGTTTCAAGGATATTTTAAATTAAAAAAAAAAAAGGGGAGGGGGAGAAGTTTATAAATAAAAATGAAATACCAAAATTAATATTTTATGTGTTACAGAAAAACTGTTTCTTTGGGGTGCTTCCTATCTGAAATGGACACAAAGTTATTAAATGTACTTTGTGTTCTTTTATTTTGACACTTCTGCAGTGGTACATCTGAAAGTGTTGGATGAGGAAAATTCAGGGGGAAAAATCCCTCCTATGTGCTTAGTATGATTACTATGTGTGTACATTGCTTTATAAAGAAGTTTTATAGATGTAGTTTTATAGTTTATAGATATAGTTTTATAGTTTATCCTCAACCCTGGATATAATTTTAAGATACAAAAAAAACTTCTTCATTTCTAATATTAATGTTTATTTGCATACTTACTTTTACTAATTATTTACATCTGAATTAACTGTTGCAAATATTGCAAGTATTTTCATATTTAATATTTTAATACTGCAAATATTAAACAACAGAGATGTGAGAATGTAGATATCTAACGAGAAAGATTTGTTCAGAGCAACTTGCTGGTTACTACTATAACATCAAATTGGTTTTGTGATCTGCTTTATAGATCTTGAGGCAAAAGGGGATTTCTTGGAGCTCCTGCTTCTGAATTTATGAAAGAAAAGTTATCTTCACCATGAAGACATGAAATAAAATTGACTCGCATAAAGCATAAGCTAAAACTTTAATTTTCAAGAATTACTCTGAGTAAGCCAGTTTAATTAAGATGAAATTCACTGCAGTCACCTCCAGATCAATTAATCTTCATGTTAAGAGCTAAAGTGAGGAATGAGTCATGCGGAAGCATTAGATGGGCCCTCTTCCAGGAAGAATTCTGCCCTTGAAGTGGCCACTTTTAATGAGGGAAGTTTCAGTGCACTGTGCAACACAAATCTGGTGTTAAAAAAACTCACGACCGTTGTTTTAGCCTTTTCCTTTTGAGATGCTTGCAAGAGAGTTTCTCCCGACCCTGTCTGGGTGCCTCCCGTATGTGGTTAGTGAGGGCTCTGCAGGCTCCGGGAGATCCACAGACTGGATTTAAACCCTCTTGTTCTCAGCAGTGCTTCATAAGAGGAAGGACCTCTTTTGAGCCATTCTCTCTGCCTCAGTTTGTGGAAGCCTCAGGAGCTCTGATATGACATTGGGCAAATGATCATAGTTGAGACCTCTGCTCTTTGGGTTTTCCTAAACTGTTCAGAATGGCAGCCTTTCCTCTTGTGATATAGTGTGTGTGCACATTCAAATTGTTTCCAGTTAGTTTCCACTTAGTAAAAGTCACCAGATGCTCTACGTGATGTAGCTACATAACCTCCATTGAAAATGAAGGGAATCATGTACACAATGTTTTAGTCAGCTTTGATAAAAGTCCAGCTTTTATTTACCAACTTGTCATTTGCTAGTAGAATTGGATTTTGAATAACTATCTAAATGTGTGCTTTGACTCTCTAGGTAACATCTGTATCACTCTGAAAGTTCTGCAGTATTTTGTTGTGTAGTTAATACTGGTATTACTTAACATGCTTTTGCTGACACAGGAAATGAAAAACAAGAATATATCTCTCCTCTCATCTTCCTTTGTGTAGACTTTGGTTGGTGTTTATCAAAAAAAATCATGCTGGGATATGGCTCTCAAATGCTGTCTCCTGCACGGCAGCTCATGCTGTCAGCAGTGCTTTGTGAGGATCTAACTATGCAATTTCTTTGTAACTTGTCTTCATGATTTTTGTCCTGAAAAACGCTAAGCATATCTTAAATGTTTCATTTAGGGGATGCTTTTTTCTAATTTTGTGCTGATAAATGTAGAAATCGGAAACTAATTTAATCAGAAGAAACAGGCTTCGCATTTGTTCTTGCTGTGCCATTTATTACGTAAGACAGTACAGAAATGAAAACAGTTTATGTTGTGCTCGTTATTCTACAGTTACAAATCAGATTGGTTTAAAAGTTTTTTTTGAAGATTTGCATTGAACATAAAGGTAGGGAAATAGTTACCCTTTTTGTCTTTGTTCTGTTGTTTCTTCATCTGTCATTAAAATGGGCTATGAAAAGACCTCTACAAAAGTTTCTAACTAATGACTTAATTATTTTATTTTAAAATGTAAGCTATAGAATAATCAATATGCGGTTCCAGAAGAAATAAACAAGCTTGTTCATCAACCTACATCAATGGGTTGTTTTTTGGAGGGTGCGGTTCTTCTCCTTGCTTGGGGGATGTTAGCAGATTTGTATAGCCTCCCATCAAATCAAAAACTCAGCAACAAGATTAACAGAACTTCTATAAGTGTGTGTCTCTAATGCTTTTGACAAATACATTTTCTGTGACCAACTAAATTTAAATAGGCTTTGTAAAATGCCTGAAGATTTAGTGTTGTTAATATAATTTTTTA